TGAGCCCAGGAGTTTGAGGTTGCTGTGAGCTAGGCTGATGCCACGGCACTCGCCCCAGGCAAGAGAGTGAGACTCTGTCTCAAAAAAAAAAAAAAAGAAGAAAGAAAAAAGAAATTAGCTGTAGTCCCAGGGTGGGAGGATTGCTTGAGCCCTAGAGATAGAGGCTGCAGTGAGCTAAGATCATGCCACTGTACTCCAGCCTGGGCAACCTATCTCTACAAAAAAAATAATAATAATTGGTCCTTAAATGAAAACCACTGGGACATTTTTGCATATCATAGATGTTTGAGATGGAATATTACCAGTGGGTTGGTAACATGGTCTATCTTACAAAATGTACTAGACCAGTGTTTTACATAAAATAGATGTTTAGTATCTTGTTATAAAAAAATTTTGATTCCAATTTATACAGTAGAAAATGATTCCTAAGTTTAATTTACAAATGAAGTTTAATTGCTCACTGGACAAAATATTTTTCCCCAAATTTCAGCATCTGGAGGAAAAGTTTCAATTAATTTGAGTACACATCTAATAAAATGAAATAAAGCCATCTGATTGAGGCAACACGATGTACTAAAAAGAGCTTTGAACACAGGAATCTCCTCCTAACATTACTGTTAACTATCCTGTGCCATTGGGCTTCATTTCCTTCCACTGTAAACTAATCAAACCTATCGTCTCCAAGATTTCTTGAGACTTTAAAAGGCTATGATCTGAAAACAAACAGGAAGATTCTGAAAAACAGAGAGAAGGCAGATTGTCTGGGGACCTCGGGACTCAAGGAAGGGCGGTGAGTCCTCTGGGTTGCCTTTTTGCCTCACATATCCTAGACAGCTGGTGAAGAAGCCGCAAGTGGCACAGATTTAAAAAAAGCCGCAACAAAAGTCTGTTCTCTTTAGCCAAAGGAGCCAAAAAAGAACAACCTGAAGAGCACAATGAAAAGCAAGAGAGAAAACCTTTAGACTATAACTTCTATACTCAAGCCAAACATGACAGAAAAAATCTGTAGCCCCGACCCACCCCCACGAGTGGAGGCCAAGGAGGGAGCTTAGACTTCCTTCCACCTTTGCTCCAACTCTCCCCACTGCCACCACCAGTGGGTGTTAGAGGAAGCCCAGTAGAGGGTCAGGACTTTGGCAACCATCTAGACGTAATGAGGCCAGAGGCCACACACCCCTCCCCTGCGATGTCAGTGGAGTCCACATCAGGAGCACGTTGAGGTCTTCCCGTCCCTCCCTGCCAGGAAGGGATCAGTGGAGGCCTAGTGAAGACCCAGAAACCCCCATCTCCATTCAGAAGTAATGAAGAGCACCTCCAGCTCAGTTGCCAACAGAGGCCAACTAGAGCCTTAGAGAGTCCAGTGCCTAACTGGACTTCCACCCCCAACTGGCAGCAATGTAGCACCAGCCCCCATCCCCATCCCTCCCTGCCAGAGCATTATCAGAAGAAACCAGCAAAGACAGAATGTTTAAATAACATCCATGTGGTGTCCTTTGAAGCACGAAAGTTATTTTATTTTGATGTTCAATTTAACTATTTTTTTCTTTTGTTGCTCATGCTTTTGGTGTTATATCTAAGAATCCTTTGCCAAATCCAATATCACGAAGATTTTACCCCCTATGTTTTCTTGTTTTCTCTGAAGGGTTTTATAGTTTTAGCTCTTATATTTAGGTGTTTGGTCCATTTTGAGCTAATTTTTGTATTTGGTGTGAGATAAGCATCCAACTTCACTCTTTTGCCTGTGGCCATTCAGTTATTCCAGCACCATTTATTGAAAGGAACATTCTTTCCCCATTGAATGGTCACAGTACCCTTGTCAAAAAATCAATTGACCATAGGTATATGGGTTTATTTTTGGACTGTCAATTCTATTCCTATTAATCTATATGTCTAGCCTTGTGCCAGTACCACACTGTCTTGATTACTGTTGTTTTATAGTACATTTTTTTTTTTTTTTGAGACAGAGTCTCACTGTGTTGCCTGGCCTAGAGTGCCGTGGCGTCATCCTAGCTCACAGCAACCTCAAACTGCTGGGCTCAAGTGATCCTCCTGCCTCAGCCTCCCGAGTAGCTGGGACTACAGGCATGCGCCACCATGCCCGGCTAATTTTTCTATATATTTTTAGTTGTCCAATTAATTTCTTTCTATTTTTAGTAGAGACGGGGTCTCGCTCTTGCTCAGGCTGGTTTCGAACTTCTAAGCTCAAACAATCCGCCCATCTCGGCCTCCCAGAGTGCTAGTATAGTACATTTTGAAATCAGAAAGTGTGAGTTTCCAACTTTGTTCTCCTTTTTCGGTATTGATTTGGTTATTCTGGGTCCTTTGAAATTCTGTATGAATTTTTAAATCAGCTTGTTAATTTCCACAAAGAAGTCAATGAGGATTCCCAGGTAGCTGGGACTACAGGTACTTGGGAGGCTGAGGTGGGAGGATCATTTCTGCCCGGGAGTTCGAATCTAGTATGGGCAAACATAGCTGAGACCCTGTATCTTTTTTTTTTTTTTTAAAAAGGATACAGATTGGAAGGAAATAAAACTGTCCCTATTTGCAGATGACATGATTATCTACATAGAAAATCCCAAGCACTCTACCACGGAGATTGCCAAGCAGAAAGATAGAAGTGAGAAGAACATGGTAGAAAAGTCATACTGATATTTGTTGAATGCCTCGAGTGAGCAGACTGAGTATCAGAGGTCGTGTTCCTGTTGTGCTGAAGATCAGGTGTTAACATGATATAAGTCTGATGATATCTTTACTTATTTTTTTTTAATTTTAAAACTTTTTTTAGAGACAGAGTCTTACTCTGTTTCCCCAGCTGGAATGCAGTGGTTCACTATCATAGCTCACTGCGGCCTCAAACCCCTGGTCTCAAGTGATGTTCCTGCCTCAGTCTCGTGAAGTCCTGGGATTACAGGCACACACCACCACATCTGGCTAATTTTTAAATTTTTTTGTAGCACAGGATCTCGCTATGTTGCCCAGGCTGGTCTTGAACTCCTGGCCTCAAGCAATCTTCCCAAAGTGCTAGGCATCCCTGACCCCAGCTGATAATATCTTTAATAGAAGTAAGACAACATACAGAAGTTAGATAATTTTGTGAGACAATGACAAGTACCCATGTTCATGTTTTAGCAAGTATTTCTATGGAATTAAATATGGAGAAGTATGGGGAGAAAGCTCATTTGGGGATTTTGTAATATTTAAGACGATTTGGGTGATGGTTATGGCTATGGTTTTGAGATGAACTTTGGTCACATTTTTCTGAGTAGCTTTTATTCCTTACTAAAGATTATGAAAGCAAGCTTGGCCTGATGTAGCAAAAGTGACATCAATTTCCGGAGTAAGGTACCCACTTCATATAATACCATCATAATCTACTTTCAGATTAATTTCTAGACAGGTGGATGGTATTAAGGCCCTGTTGCTGGTGATTCTTGGATTTAGGATATTTATGACTCTTTCTGATACGACTAGAACTATTAGGCTACCTCATGGCATTAAATTCAATGTTTGATCAAACAGTAAATGACATAGAACCTGTGCCCAGCAGATCCAGAGCCAACCTGGTTGTAGCCCAGTTTAGGAGTGTAATGATCTAGGTGGTTCAGTAGCATCTCTGGTTGGAAAGAGGAATTTGATCTCTAGTTCTGTCATTCTCCTCTTTTAACCTTCTCCTCTTTTAACCATTACTGGTAGGGTAAAGTATGAATTCTTCCATCACCAGGCTTGATAGGGTAGTGGACCTGTATTTGTTAGAATTCAGTGGGGAAGCCATCTGGGCCTGGGCCTTTCTTTGTGAGTAGTTTTTTGATTATTTATTAAATATATTCACTTGTTATAGATCTATTCAGATTGTCTATTTCTTCTTGAGTTTGTCTTTCACAGTTTGTATCTTCCTAGGAATAAGTTATGTAATTTGTTGGTATACAATTGTTCATAGTATTCCTGCTCATCACTTATTGCCCAGCTGTACTAAACATTCCTAAACATGAACCCATGCTTTCCTCCCCTTTCACTTTTGTACCTGGAATGCTTTCCACTTAATCTCTACCTACTGAAATGTATTAAATACCTACTGGGACCAAAATATTCTTCAGAGTTCTCTAAGGAGGACATGAACAGATAAGGTTTTGCTTCTCAAAGAGCTTACCGTCTGGTATAACGTATCCTGAAGTGGCTGGGCTTGGGGGCTATGCCTGTACTCCCACCACTTTAGAAGGTTGAAGCAGGAAGATCGCCTCAGGCCGGGAGTTCCAGACCACTCTGGGCAACATAGCAAGACCATTATATTATCTATTTGTTTTTCTTTGTTTGTTGAGACAGGATCTTGCTCTGTTGCCCAAGCTAGAGTACAGTGGTGTCATCATAGCTCACTGCAACCTCAAACTCCTGGGCTCAAGCAAACCTCCTGCCTCAGCCTCCCAAGCAGCTCGGGCTAGAGGTGTGCACCATCACACCCAGCTAATTTTTCTGTTTTGTAGAGATGGGGGTCTCACTCTTGCTCAGATTGGTCTTTTTTTTTTATTATTCAGGATATTATGGGGGTACAAACATTTTGGTTACATGTAATGCGTTTTGGGCAGCATTGGTCGTTCAGTGGTAGAATTCTCGCCTCCCACATGTAATGCGTTTGCCCCACCCAAGCCAGGGCTACAAGCGTGTCCTTCCCCCACACAATGTGTTCTGCTTCCAATAGTTGTGGGTTTACCAGCCCCACCACCTGACCGGCACCCAGTGAATATTACTACCATGCGAACACCTTAGGGTTGGTCAGTTAGTACCAATTTGATGGCAAGTACATGTGGTGCATGTTTTTCCATCCTTGTGATACCTCACTTCCAAGGATGGGCTCAATCTCTATCCAGGATAACATAAGAGGTACTAGATCATCATTGATTTTTGTAGTTGAGTAGTATTCCGTGGTATACATAATGCCACATTTTATTAACCCACTCATGTATCGATGGGCTCTTTGGTTGTTTCCACATCTTCGCAATTGTGAATTGTGCTGCTATTAACATTCGAGTGCAGATGTCTTTATTACAGAGCGTCTTTTTTTCCTTTGGAGAGATGCCTAGAAGTGGGATTGGTGGATCAATTGGTATTTCTATTCTTAGCTCTTTGAGGTATCTCCAAATTACTTTCCACAGGGGTTGTACTAATTTGCAGTCCCACCAGCAGTGTAAGAGTGTTCCAATCTCTCCACATCCACACCAGCATTTGTTGTTTTGGGACTTTTTCATAAGGGCCATTCTCACTGGAGTTAGGCGATATCTCCTTGTGGTTTTGATTTGCATTTCCCTAATGATTAGAGATGTTGGGCACTTTTTTATACGTTTGCTGGCCATTAGTCTGTCTTCTTTTCAGGCTGGTCTTAAACTCCTCGCCTCAAGCAATCCTCCAGCCTCAGCCTCCCAAAATGCTGGGATTACAGGCATGGGCCATCATCCATGGCCCATAGTTATCTATTTGTGTGTGTGTTTGTGTGTGTGTATAAAAAGATGAAAAAAGAGGAAAATGTTGGAACGCTATCATAATTGACGCAAGAGGAAATAAGAACAAGTTCACAAACAATGGGATAGAAGGAAGCAGATCTCATTATGGGTTCCATATTCCTGTTAACTATACCAAAATTCACTCAACCGCCCAAACTAGTGTCAAATTAAAATTATAGGAGCCATTGTTTTGGCTCCTGCACTAGGCCCTGACAGACCAGACAAAAAATAAAAAGGGAGTCACCCCTGCTAAAGTGCCAGTTACCAAACCCAAACTCACTGTTATCTGACCTTCTGGGAAATCAGGAGATAGAGATAATGCCAGTTTTCCCAACAGGCCAGTTTCATCTCAATCTTCAATCGGTATGGTAATAAAGTTTCCTCTGCTTTAATCCTTACACAAAAAAGGTAGCCCGATGTAACCTGATGTCAACTAATCCATTCTTTTACTATTTTTTTGTCTTCCTGTCTCTACCTTAGAAGAAAAGTAGCTTAGAAAGGTTTTTTTTTTTGCTGCTTCTTTCTTCAGCCCTTCTCTGTCTCTAAAGCCAACCTTCAGTTCAGCTCATTGGAACACTTATTCTATTTTATGAGATGAAGCGTTGCCCGATTCTAAAATCGCAAACAAAGCCAACTGAGATCTTTAAGCTAAATTTGTTGTAATTTTGTCCATTTCTTGCCTGGGATATTTTAATAACTTTCTGACTATTGTTAAATTAGGTTTAGCCTAAAGCTGCCTCCGTACATATTTTCAGTTTGGCCTAAAGGTTTCTCTGTACAGAGTGAACTGTAACCTAACTGAATGTGTAAACAGACTGTAACGTACTCTCGTAACAAGTAGGAATCAGCCAATCACAGCAGTCGTACTTCAACCATTCACAGGCAGCCAACTATTCAAACAGTGTTCAAATAAGGCAAACACTGAGCTGTAACCAATCCGGCTGTTTCTGTACCTCACTTCCATTTTCTGCACATCACTTTCATTTTTCTGTCCATAAAGCCTTTCTGACCACGGGGCAGTGCTGGAGTTGCTCTGAACCTATTCTACTAGGGGCTGGTAGAGCAGGAGCTGACCAATCTGCCAAGTGTCCTTTGCTCAATTAAACCCTCTTCAATTTTGTTTGTCTAAAGTTTTTTTCTTTTAACACAATACTATGAATTCAGTGGCTTTCTACTCTCGGCCCTTTCTCTGTACAGTACCGTCATCAGAATTATGGTCCTGAAACAGATGTGACCATTGCCACTTTTCTCTTCTGAAGAGCAGCAATAGACTATTTCTATCACATTCTTTCATTTATTTTTATTATTATTATTTTTTAAGATTTTATTTCAGTTCACACAACTTATCGGAGGTGGGAAGGGAGGGGAGGAGACTTTGCTTGGGGCTCCCTGTACTTGAGGCGACTGTGGAACGAACAGGTGCTGGGGGTGCTGGCGGGGGACCCCGTGACTGCATGTCAGGGCCTGTATTCTCCGGCTGCAAGAACAGGCAGGCTAAAGCAGCCAGAGGGCTGGAGAGTTGCTGCTGCCCCAGGAGCAGGCCTCGGCCCACCGGGGACGTGGGTTGGGGAATGAACAGCCCGGCCCCTCGAGCCTCAGCTGGGTGAACTCTGGAGCCCCCGCCATGCCGTCTCCCAGGGGTTCTGCGTGGCTGAGCCCCAGTGGCCCCCTCATTCTTTCACTTATTGAGTGCCTTATATGTGCTAGCTGCTGGGGATGCACTGGTGATTTATGATAAAGGCGACATTTCAAATTAGGGGTGAAGAAATCAAATGGTCATAACACAATGAAAAGATGCTTAATGTTATTTTTCTCCTACGAGATTGGCAAAGATTAAAAAGAGTGAAAATATCGGGCTGGGCAAGGTAGCTCACGCCTGTAATCCTAGTACTTTGTGAAGCCAAGGTAGGAGGATTGCTTGAGGTCAGGAGTTTGAAACCAGCCTGAACAAGAGCGAGACCCCATCTCTGCAAAAAATAGAAAAATTAGCCCAGCATGGTGGTGCACAACTGTAGTTCCAGCTGCTCAGGAGGCTGAGGCGGGAGAATGCTCGAGACCAGGAGTTTGAGGCTGCAGTGAGCTATGATGAGGCCACTGCACTCTAGCCTGGGCAACAGAGTAAGAGGGAAATATTTAAAAAGAAAATGTGAAAAAGGAAAAGAAAAAGAATGAAAATACCCAATGTTGTCAAATATGTGGGAAAACAAACAACCTCATCCACTATTGGTGGGAGCATTAATTGATACAAATTTTTTTTCCATTTTTTTTTCTGCTGTGGGTGTAGATACATGATACAAACTTTTTAGAGGGCAATTTAAAAATATCTATTAAAATGTTTAGTTTTTGTACAGGTTAAGATTTTCCACAATTACAGGTCTTTCTTTTCTCTTTAAAGTGTGTGGGGGGGGCTGTGTTTGATGAAAACTTTCTCAAAAGAAAGTAAAACGTTGCCTGAAAAAAAATGGAAGGAGACACTTGATGAAGATACACTCCGCATGAATCAGAGGAGAGCTTGGTCTACGTGATTGTAGGTGGTTATTTACACTGGCAGAGTGGAGAAACAGATTTGCAAGTGGGAGTTTCTCCAGAGGATCAATTCATTTTTATATTTTAAAAAAGGCGATCTAGTGACTTCTAAGTAGAGATCTATAAATGCATATATTACATGAACCCACATTTATATATGTACATATGCATGTATATGTAGGTCTTTTTGTCCCTAAATTGCACATAAAGGTATTATCCCACATGGATATTATGCTCCCTTTATTTATGAATTAAATTTTTATGGTGCAACAAATAACGGGAAATAACATGAATGCAATTGCCACCTTGATCACAAGGACAGAAGCACAGGACATTGCTAGGGGACTGGTTATCTGCCAAAAATGTAGAGTTACCCATGACTAAAAGGCAGATTACATCGAAATGATACTTTTCTGACATTTACTGCTAACTGGGTCATTTTCTTACAATTAAGGAGTATCCTAAATATG